TTGGTTGCCAGGCCGCCTTTAGTACTGACTTAGCGCATTGCTACACGCGAGAAACTACTTGGCCTGGCGTTTGTCAATGGGGTCAGGAGACTCCCAGTACAACAACGTAATGTCGAGGAGAGTATAAAAACAAACTATAAAATTTCGCAACCTTTTCCAAAATCCGGAACATTGTTAAAATTGCAATAAATCATATTTTACTGTATTTTCGCGAACAAAATTCCAAAAGTTCTGCAAACTTGGAGTAGTGTGAAATATGTTATTTTATATCACCTATAAATTTTGCAACCGATTTAAAGATACGTAACATTTTTTTTATTAATAATTAATATTTTTCGTTACTAAACTAACCAAAACAAAGTGTCAAAAGTTCTGCAAACTTGGAGTAGTGTGAAATATGTTATTTTATATCACCTATAAATTTTGCAACCGATTTAAAGATACGTAACATTTTTTTTATTAATAATTAATATTTTTCGTTACTAAACTAACCAAAACAAAGTGTCAAAAGTTCTGCAAACTTGAAAGATATATCGGAATAATGTTCCGAGCAGTTGCATAAATTCGCAACCTTCTGCGTTGACCGGAACATATGTATTTATAATTTTTTTTATCAGTGGTCATTCAATCGAACTAGGTGGTCTCGGAATAATTACAAAAGTTGTGAATTTTGATTGCACATGCCAAAAGAATCTATTGTGATTTATTTACAAAATTGCAATCTTGTCCGCGATCAGGAACCTTGTGCGATGTTCAAAAATTGACTTTTTGCATTTTTATTATTTACATATATAATTATAATTATATGACATTTTTTTTCGGTCAGTTTAGTAACGAAAAATATTAATTATTAATAAAAAAATGTTACGTATCTTTAAATCGGTTGCAAAATTGATAGGTGATATAATATAACACATTTCACAGTACTCCAAGTTTGCAGAACTTTTGGAATTTTGTTCGCGAATATAGAGTAAAATTTGATTTATTGCAATTTTAACAATGTTCCGGACTTTTGAAAAGGTTGCAAAGTTTTATAGTTTGTTTTTATACTCTCCTAGGCATTGCATGTAAGTTTAACAACTTTTGGAATTATTGTTAAATTTTTTATTTTGAATGTCTGGAATTACTGGCCTAGTAGCAGTTAGCTTTAGCTTGCTACGACTATACCTCCCACCACGCAGCGACGATCCGCGGAAGTTCTTCATTCTGATTGGTGCATCTTAAATGCTTCCCATTTAAAAACTATTGCGGATTTTGTCAAACGGTTTGCGGGAGGGTACTCAGGGGACCTCCAGCCATCATCCACTTTCGGGTGTAAAAGTAGTTCTGGGACACTGTATATACAGTGGGACAACAAAGTCTCCGTATATCAAGCATGAAAATTTGTAGACATGTATAATTTTTAAAACATAGCAGGTAATAAAATATATATATATACTATTTCGAATTCTCTATGTACAACAGTGAAATGCAAAACAAGTTATTGACTATCTCACAGTTAGTTTATTATTAAATAAATATCAAAGATAAACTTAACGAAATCAGCGCCAACAGGATGTTCCAAAAAGCTCTCTGCTAAATGGACAGGACCTTATAAAATACTAGAAAAGAACTCTAAAGTAAACTACACTAAAAATGTGAATAAGAAATTACTAAAGGTTCATGTGAACCGCCTTAAGCATTTCCTCGCTTAAGTTTAAAAAGAAAGAGGTGTGCAGAGGATTGGAGTGAGGACAACACAAACTTAGATAAATTAAAACAACATAATTTATTCAAACAAAAGAAAAAAAAATTTATTTTTTTTACAAAATTTGGACTAGAACCAACTCTCTGGTTCGTAGTCCTCCTCCCCGAACAGCTTTCGGAGGCAGAAGAGGTCTGGCTCCGTTACACTCCCCTGTCCCCAGTGCCAGTCCACCAGGGAACGGAGATCCGCCCGGACTCGCCTTCTCATTCGCATTTCGCGAATATTGATGAAATCGAGCTAGAAAAAAAAAGGGAAAACAGACAATGAATAATTGCAAAGGACAAGCAAATTCAAAAAAAAAAAGTAAGTTCAAATACTCACTCCGGACAACGAAATAGTTAGCGCCCTCTCAATCCTTTTCCAGAGCACAACCTCGGCCCTCCGCAAAAGGTCGGCGGTCCTCTCTGCCTCAGACAGGACCCTTACCCCTGTGGGGAAAGGAGCCTCCGCCGACAATCTTGAATTGGAAGTGTTACTTGGACACATGTTCAATGCTGTCTAATGCGCAGCCACAGCTAATTCACGCTTTATATAGCTACAAAACTTATACGTCACAAAAGGCTGAATGACAATTCTCTACTTACCTTTCATACAATGCCAAAACTGCACATGTTGCAGGTTCACCGCACTAAGGTTCGGGACGACCCAGATCCAAAACGCACCAGCTCAGCAATTGACGATAAGAGAATTCAATACTACTCCAGGGATATACTTCGAAAAAATGGGAAACCTCGTGAACTATAAGGATACTTGGAAGTTGGTTATTCAAACTGACCTAAGCCCCATATTTGAAAGAGAGGCTACCATCAAGCATTACTTATGGAAAACTAAAAAAATGTGTGGAACAACCACTCTAGAATTGCAAAGAATATGCAAGGCTTTCAGCATTTCTTCTAAGGCTCGTCTTCAGGAAATAGAAGCCAAATTAGAATACGTTAAGGAAACCACACTCGATCCACCATCAAAAAGGAAAAGAGGACTAATTGACGGACTAGGACCTTTAGCCAAATCCTTGTTCGGTACAATAGATGCCGAGGATGCTAAACTGATAAATGAGCAGATAACGGCTCTTAATAAAGAAGGAAGCGCAT